GTGTCCCATGTCCCACTCGTGTCCCACACTTGTCCCCTCTGTGTCCTAAACATGTGTCCCCCGTGTCCCCCATGTGTCCCCCCTGTCCCCCCATCTCAATCGTGTTCCCCTCGTGTCCCCCATGTCCCACTCGTGTCCCACTCATGTCCCCTCTCTGTCCTCATTGTCCCACTCGTGTCCCACTTGTCCCACTCGTGTTCCCCATGTCCCACTCATGGCCCACTCTTGTCCCCTCGTGTCCCACTCGTGTTCCCCATGTCCCACTCATGTCCCACTCATGTCCCTTCGTGTTCCACTAGAGTCCCCTGTCCCACTCGTGCCCCACTTGTGTCCCACTCGTGTCCCCTCTGTGTCCTCCCATGTCACCCCTGTCCCTCTCGTGTGCCCTTCATGTCCCACTCGTGTCCCCTGTCCCCCTCGTGTCCACTCGTGTACCACTCGTGTCCCTTCTGTGTCCTTCCATGTGTCCCCAATGTCCCCCCATCCCACTCGTGTCCCACTCGTGTCCGACATGTCCCCTCTGTGGCCTCCCATGTCCCCCCGTGTCCCGCTGGTGTCCCATGTCCCACTCGTGTCCCACTCGTGTCCCACTCTTGTCCCGAGTCCTAAACATGTGCCCCGCCGTGTCCCCCATGTGTCCCCCCTATCCCCCGTCTCAATCGTGTTCCCCTCGTGTGTCCCATGTCCCACTCGTGTCCCACTCGTGTCCCCTCTCTGTCCTCATTGCCCCACTCGTGTCCCCCTTGTCCCCCTCGTGTTCCCCATGTCCCACTCATGTCCCACTCGTGTCCCCCCACGTCCCTCCGTGTCCACCCATGTCCCCCTTGTCCCACTCGTGTCCCCTTCGTGTCCCCTCTCTGTCCTCATTGCCCCACTCGTGTCCCCCTTGTCCCCCTCGTGTTCCCCATGTCCCACTCATGTCCCACTCGTGTCCCCCCACGTCCCTCCGTGTCCACCCATGTCCCCCTTGTCCCACTCGTGTCCCCTTCGTGTCCCCTCTCTGTCCTCATTGCCCCACTCGTGTCCCCCTTGTCCCCCTCGTGTTCCCCATGTCCCACTCATGTCCCACTCGTGTCCCCCCACGTCCCTCCGTGTCCACCCATGTCCCCCTTGTCCCACTCGTGTCCCCTTCGGGTCCCCCATGTCCCACTCGTGTTGCAGTTCCCACCTGAGCCTGGAGTCCCCGCGGGACACCTGATGTGCCCTGAGCTTTTCCACGAGGATCCTAACGATTCGAACGAACACCACGAAATTCACCTGCGTGGGGGGAAAGGGACACGCGTGGGGTGGCTTGGGGTCACGAGGGGACACCCACGCGGGGACACCCACGAGGGACTCACCCCCACAGCCACCAGGATGGGACAGCGAATGACCCACCACACCTCCAGCTTCTCGTTCCGCTCCCAACACCTGCGGAGGGTGACACGGTCAGGGTCCCTACGAGTGTCCCCGTGGGTGGGGGACACGCTGAGCCCACGCGTGGGGTGGGGACACGGGTGGGCTCACCCCTCGTTCTCGTAGAGATAGCGCAGGAGAACCCATGGAGCAACGAAGAGAACGGGGACACCTGGGGGGACAGAACGGAGTGGGTGAGGGGGACACGAGTGGGACGTGGGGGACACGGGGACACGAGGAGGACACGAGTGGGACAGGGGTGACATGGGGGACATATGGGAGGACACAGAGGGGACATGAGTGGGACAGGGGTGGCATGTGGAACCGAAGTGTGTCACAAGTGGGACACAGGGGGACACGAGTGGGACATGTGAGGACACAGAGGGGACACGAGTGGGACACGGGGGACAGGTGGGGACACGAGTGGGAGACACGGGTGGACAGAGGGAGGTGGGGGGGACACAAAGGGGACACGAGTGGGACATGATGGGGACACGAGTGGGGCACGATTGGGACGTGAAGGACACGAGTGGGATTCGAGTGGGATATGTGAGGACACAGAGGGGACACGAGTGGGACACAGGGTGACACGAGTGGGACATGAGGTGACATGGCGAACACATGGGAGGACACAGAGGGGACACGAGTGGGACACAGGGTGACACGAGTGGGACATGAGGTGACATGGCGAACACATGGGAGGACACAGAGGGGACACGAGTGGGACACAGGGTGACACGAGTGGGACATGAGGTGACATGGCGAACACATGGGAGGACACAGAGGGGACACGAGTGGGACACAGGGTGACACGAGTGGGACATGAGGTGACATGGCGAACACATGGGAGGACACAGAGGGGACACGAGTGGGACACGAGTGTGATATGAGTCGGACACGAGGGGACATTGGAGGACATGGGGGACACATGGGCGGACACAGAGGGGACACGGCAGGACACGAGTGGGATACGAGGGGGACACGAGTGGGACAGGGGGGACATGGGGGACACATGGGAGGACACAGAGGGGACACGAGTGGGACACGGGC